GAGGAGACAGAATGCCTACCCCAAAACTGTTGAATGACCTTAGGGCAAGAACCATCTCCTCCATAGAAGGATGCAGCCACTGGGTTCTGGATGTTGTTTGTAGCCGAGTTAGGTGAAGGCTGTGGTTATTTTTCCCCTTTTGTCTTTGAAATGGAAAGAAAAATGTTTACAAGAGATCACGCAAGAGAAAATAGAAACAGACTAAGAACCAGTCACTAAGCTCACGGGACAGCCAAGCTCAACGGCAAAACAAGTTCAAGTCTGCACGTGTTACCAGCAAAGGGGCCAAATCATCAGACAAGTATCAGATGGTTCCGTTTATGTGAGGGCCTTAGAACAGCCAAATTCAAAGAGAGAGAGAGAGAGAAATGTGCAGATTGTGATGGACGGGATGTGGGGCACATTATCACGTCACAGGTTCCAAGCTTTCATTTTGCAAGATGAGAAGCCTAGAGGTTAGTGGCACAGTGCAAATACTTGAGTTTTGTTTTAAGTTCACTTTTAAAATTTAAGGCGGGGTCTCTACATGCCATAATGGCCTTGAACTTGTTATGTGGACCAGACTAGACTCAGTCTCCGGTCATCCTGCCTGATTCCTGAGTGCTGCAATTACGGGTCCAGGGATTACAGGCACCAGTTATGGATGCTCTCAACGCTACTGCGTGGCTTTGTGTTGGTGCCAGTGGCATAAAGATGAGCTTGGTTCCCAGCCTTCCCTGGAGAAAAGACAAACCATCCACTGAGGGTCTGGGGACACTTAGCTGTGTGCTCTGAGGATATTCTAATGGAAGTCAATGATGGTTGCCACAGAAGCACAGAGGGGGAGGGTTGTGACCCACACTGTGGAGAGGGTGTAGCAGGAGTCATAACCTGACATCATTTGCAAAAGGACCAGATAGGAAGAGGGAAGGAGGGAAGAGGAGTGGGACCATTCCAGGCATCTGAACCTCTTGCACACAAGCACAAGACATAGATAAAGGGAGGCCCACAGAGGCAGGAGGTCTCTAGAGAGAGAGAGAGCCTGCTTGGGGCATGGCCTGTGTGGCTTGAAAACAAACAAAACAACTTGAACTTGGTGGTACCAGCAGCAGTGGACCTCACAAAAGGTATTTGGAGATGCTAATTCTCAGAATATTTGAGGATCTCTCAAAAGAATCCGAGTTATGTTCGAGGCAGAGGCAAGTACAGCAAGTGAATGAACTTAAGGGATATTTATGTTGAAATTGGGAACCAATAAACAGTGTGAAAAAGGAAGATGCCTGGGCAGAGACAACCTGAGCTTACCCAGTGCCTGTGCTTGTACTGTACCAAGCATGTTACTTCATCCTAGAAACACCAGTGACCTGAGGTTCTTGTTTGTTTTAGATGATGAATCAAAGCCTCCAGAGGCATCGGGGACTCCCCAAGGTCACAAGTCTACTAAACTGTGGAGGACTCTTTTGCCTACATCAGTGGGGGACAGACAGGCTGAGGTCTGAGATGCTGTGCGGAGGCAGATGCTCAGAAGGCCCCCGTGCACATGCTTGTGATGCTCCTGGGGAGGGCTGGCCTGCGGGTGAGGGCAGCAAGGACTGGAGATGTCTCCGCAAGAGTGCTGCTGTTTAGAAAGCCCTGAGGAAGTGTCACAGGGGATGAGTGACGGAGAACCTGCAGAGAGACGCTGAGAGGCTGGACCACATCCTAAAGAAACAGAGCAGGAATGAAGATGGGGACCCGGAGACAACCTTGTCAAATGTCACATGGCCGTCAAGGACGAGACCGGAGGCAATGTATGCTGCTAACCTTCAGGACTCAGACTTGACCTTTCTGTTCCTCCTCTCCTGCTCCCCCTCTCCCTGGTAACCCGGAACATGGTCTTCAGAGCCATCCACACACCGAGCTCCTGTGAGTGTCTAAGATGGGTTTCTTTTAGCATCGATGTGCCCACTTCTGGTGAGAACCAGAAGGGCATCTTCAGCCCTCACGTCTCCTCTGGCACAAAGGGAACACAGTAATTCACAGCTGAAGTCCACAGGAAGTTCTGCAGTCTCTGCTTCCTCCCCGGACTCAGGGATACCTAGGGTTGTCCCGTGCAGTGGCAGCAGCATCAGAAGGTTCCAGAAACCAGCCTGATCTTGAGCCTCCTCCCTTTCTGCGTGCCTAAGCACTGAGTTACCTACTTGCTGCGGCTGCCTCCTTTCAAGCCCGGAGATGCATTTAGCTCAAAGGCAGACACAATAGTTGCTTGGTTTACGGGGAATGGATGTCTCTAAATTAGAAGCTAACAGTCTGCATTGAGCTATGAGATGAGGCAGAGAGGGCCCACGATCAATGTCCACGCCTCTCTGGGCCTTTGATAAACGTTACACATACTGACTACGGCAGAGAGCAGGAGTCTGGGTGAGGCTCAGGCGAGCCTCTCGTTTGCCATGAGCCCAGGGGCAAGTCACTCACGCTGTCACTCAACACGGACCCTCTTCAGCACCTCTCCTTGCTCCAAAATATAGAGACGGCCTTAGTTCTCCTCCAGGGCAATAAGTGCACCAGACATCAAGACTGGTATAGAGGGCATGGCTGGAGAGAGCTGCTAGCAAGCAGAGGCTACATCCCGGGCCCCAGGTTTGAAGTGCAGCCTGGAGAGTTCTGCAGAGCCCTCCCCTGGAGGGGGAGGCTTGGCCATGAGCAGGTCACTGGGTCTCAGGGTTCACCTATACCATATTAGCCTCTTTACCTGACGGGGCCTTGTAGTAATGACAGGACAGCGTGGTGAATGGGGAAAGTGGTCAGTGTAGGGCTACCAGAGCGGGAGTACAATGGCACAGCAGTTTAAATAGTAACTGCTGTTTACGACTTAGAGCCACACATCATGGGTGTCCCCCAGCTGTCACTGTAGAGACCTTACGAGTCCTTTCTAAGCCTCTAATTGAAGAGATAAGGAAACTGACGCCCTGAGGGACAGAGGAATCTGCCTTGAAATTCATAGGCAGAAGTCCCGCCATAAGTCAGAAGGATGTCCTAAGGCCCTCATACATGGGCACGGGATGGATCTGGGTGTGCCGTTCCCAGTTTCTGCGGGGGTTCCCACTAGGGCAGGTTCTAAGCACCCTCAGCTAAGGAGACCCTGGTGTCAGGCCAGGCTGATGCCCACCTGCAGTACACCTACTCCCCCGGTAGGGGGCTTTGTCCCCGTAGACATTCTAACCACTGAAATCATTCGTCTAGGTCTGTCTCCTTAAGTGAGACAAATCTGTCTTCATGAAACCTTCCAGTTCTGGAATTCCGTGGTTTTAGGTGTGGATTCAAATGGATCATTCTCAGAACTCCCTCCTTGGCAGAAATAGCCAGAGCCCAGAAAGCCATAAGCACACGTGTCCTTGTGTGGTCGTTCCTGTTTTACCAACATGTACGGCCCTGTATGTTTCTGCATCTGCTCCATGACCTCACAGCCCTGAAGACTATGGTTCTAGGCCTCCCTGGGTCCTCACAGTCAGTTGGAACTCAGAAAGACAGAATCCAGACAGCTGAGTGTGGAATGAGCTCCAGGCACCTGCAGGCCAGAGCCCAGATGAAGCAGGCTCAAAAAATCATCAGAGGAGGAAACTCAAATGGACCAGAAGCCTTGGGGACAGCTTCAGTTGGGTCTGTCCTGGTACCTACAAAGTGAGATCGTGTGGATGGGATGGCCTGGGTGTGGTTTTTTCACAGCTGTTCCTCTGAGTGGCGTGCCGGGCTGGAATGTAGATGTGGTCTATCTGTCTTTCCGCAGAACTCAGAGATGACACCTCTGTCAAGGAGTCATACCCTACCTAAACAGACCAGATCAGAACAGGCTAGAAATCTAGATCTAGATCTAGAAATGTCTAAAGGAGGGAAGGAAGAAAGGAAGGATGGGAGAGGAAGAGACAGATGGAGGGCACTCAGACATTCCCCACACAATCCACAATTCCACGAGGTCACCAACAGTGACCATGGCCACCACCACACTGGAAATAGACAGGAGGAAGGAGCCTCAGATGCAGATGATGTATGAACTCTCAACCTAGGCACAGCTGGGTTCCCTAGCCCCAGGCCTGGTGAATCCCTGTGTCTGAAGGCAGCAGGTGTGTGTGCTGTGCATGCCCCCTTCACATAGAAACGGGGGGGGGGGGTGATGTCAAAGCCCCAGCTAGCTGCCATCCACTGGGCTCAAGTGACAAGGAGCTTTCCAGCTGACAATTTCCTATTCGGGAAGAGTTTAACAAGATTCTGCAGTAGTCAGGAACTTAAAGAGGCACAGATCTTTATAAATAACTCTTGATTAAAACGGAGCTGAAAATAGGGAGACAGAACAGGAGGCAAACCGCTAAGCATTTACTGAGTCGATAACATCGGCTTGGAGATCTTAGTGCAAATGGCTGGTCTGGGTTTATTTCCTTCTTGTCAAAGGTTAGATGCTGGAACCTAGAGACACCAAGGCTGTGTGTGTCCAAGGACTGTTTCAAGGGGGCGTGGCTCTCTGCTATTAGAGTCTCGGATGATGCTGACAAGGGCCTTGATTAGATATCCCTGAAGCCTTTTGGGTTCAGCCAGGAAACATGGCCACTGTTTGCTCCCTAGACGGGCTAACCCCTGAGCCCTGAGATTCTGGGTGGTGATTCGTGGCTGAGTCCCTGGTATGAAACTTGGGCAGCCAAATGTCCGAATGAGACCTGGACTGTGCTCTCTCCTGTTAAGTGACTGTCTCACCCGCTAGTCTATCATCAGCAGGGCCTGACTTAGCTGCAAGCAGGCCACCATAGTTCGTGTTCTCTGGGAAGTTGAAACTGAATGGAAATGTGCTTATGAGGTCCCGACCTTGGAGAGTGCTCCAGCAGCTAAATGGAGGCACAGGGTGGAGGTTCAGAATAGAGCTGACTTTTTTTTTGCATGGGTTCTGTCCCTGTCTTTCTCCCCAGGATCCAAACACAACCCTAAATCCTTAGGTAGCAACAAGGGCAGGGCCAGGGAACCCTGAAGGGAGGCGGAAGGGAGCCAAGACACCCATGATGAGCCTGACTGTCAGCCGTAATTGCAGGTGCCTGTGTGCACTTGGAGGATGCCGCGGCTGTGCAGGTGAAGGAAGGCGAAGATCTCGGAGGGCATGGCGTGGAAGCCGGGCTTGGGCTTGACGTTGTCGTAGTAGTGGTGCGTGATGTGGAAGCCTGAGGGGTTCATGGGGAAGGCCCAGAAGCCGAACAGGTGCACCTCCTCGCAGAGCTCCAGCGCCGCGGTGACCAGGATGAGCCCAGTGCTGATTCGCTTTGCGCGCACACCCAAGCTGAGCCAGTAGCGCGTCACACTGGACAGGTACAGCGGGTGGAAGAAATAGACCTGCTGCTGTGACCCGAAGTCGTCCAGCAAGTACTTGACGCGGAAGGACACGAGGGTATTGCGCATGGTATAGAACGCAGGCAGCAGCACCGAGGCATTCTTGTAGATCTGCAGCACCCTGAAGAAGGGTCTCCGCCACTTCTCCAGCTTGTGGAACCTGCAGGGTGGCAGAGTGAGCAGCAGCAAGCCCTGTGCATCCTCGCAGCCCACGCTCCCCATCTCATCCACTGCCCCAGCCGCGCCCTCTCCCATCCCCTCACCTCACTCTAACACCACCCCAAAGCCTCACCTCCCACCTTTCACCCCCATCCCCTCCGGGCTCACAGTGCTTCCTAGCTTCCCCTCTTCAGCATCCTTTCCCTACCTTTACACATTTATCATTTGTTTGCTTGCTTGCTTGTTTATTCATGGAGGGGGGCATGTGCCACAGAGCAGGCGTGTGGAGGTCAGAGGACAGCCTGCCAGAATTTCTCCTTCCATCATGTGGTCCCTTGCCATTGTGCACTGTGAAGAAGTATCACACTGATTGCTTTAATAAAAAACTAAACAGCCAATAGCTGGGCAGGATTTCCATGCACAGAAGGTGCTGGGAAGAAGAAGGGTAGAGTTGCGAGGGGCTGAGAAGGAAGCATGGCATGTTGGAGAGTAAGTAACAAGCCATGGACCTAGAGTAATAGAAATGGGTTCATTTAAGTTTCAAGAGCTAGCTGAAAACAAGCCTAAGCTATCAGTTGAGCTTTCATAATTAATAAGTCTCTGTGTTGTGATTTGGGAGCTGGCTGGTGACAAATGCTGCCCAACATGGGGCACATACATCCACAAAAGACCTGAGACAGCTCCTTAAAAGGTTCCAAACACAGTTTCCTAGCCCTGTAGTCTCTCATGCAGGCCACGGTATGGAGACACATCTCCCAGCTGCTGCCTGTGGGTTAAGGCTAAGCCGTGTGGTGGTTTAGGTTGAGCTCATGCAGACAGAAAAGGTTTCAGATATGCAGTAAAGCAGGTTCAGACAGGAGAAAAACCAATAAATAAGTTATAGTGTATTTTAGAAATATGTATGGGCTTTAAAAAAAAATAAAGAATGGGTATGGACAGTCACAGAAAAAATGGTTTATAAAATAATAAGGTAAAGTCTTTAAAGAAAAAAATAAAATAACCTAAAAAGGAGAGCTGTGTAAAGATTGAAAATATACAGAGTATGGATCCTGTATGATGTTATATTGATTTTAAATCTTTTGATTGCTGATGAGCAGACAATAGCTGCTAAGAGACATTTGATTATAAAAACTACTAAATTAAATCAACCTACATATTTTTAAAATGTCTTAATTTCAAAATGGAAATAAAAAATATTTATTGTTGGGTAAGAGGTAATGCTTTAGCTTCTACAGGAAATGAAAGACTGTAGATTCAAGGTTGAGAGAGATCAGGTTAGATCAAGGATAACCCCCTGAAAATCCTGGCTACAGACATAAAGAAATAAACCAAAAAAAAAAAAAAACCTACAAGACAGGTTGCCTATGTTTTACCTGCTCAAACATAAAACAAAAAAATCATCTTTGGCTGGCTTGTGTACAGCACACAGTCCACACTTGTGTTAATGCAGGTATGGGCGTTACCTTTGAAAGTGTGTGTGTTTTCAGAGCAGGGGACCAGACGCTAGTGAAAACAGGTGACCCAGGTGATCCGGCCTCTCAGATGCCTCTGTTGCAGTTCCCTTAGAGCTCTGCATCCAGAACAGCTTCAAGGCTGCTGGCTGAGGTGGTCCAGCCTCACAGACTCTTTTAGCCAGGACTGCAGATAAGCCTTGGGCTTTCCCATTGCACAAAGACTGGACAACAAATATTATAGCTAGTTTTCCCAGGACCTGAGCATTATCTTAATTTTTTCAGGTTCCCTAAAGATGCCTTTATCCACAGATGATAGGAAGCAGTCTGGAGAATACAATGACCACATTCCCAAGAGGTAGGGGTGGGTGTTTTTTGGTTATTCAATGGGTTATGGATGTTTGTATTGTTTAGCGGGGGATATACAAGTATAGAATAAAAAGACAACTATTAACATCATATATTTTACATTAATACGGATTTTGGTGTATTGATACAAATGTATTTTTGTTACACTGAATGTATGTTTCTACTCTTGTTTGGGGTATTGAGAAGCTCTTTAAAATTGTGATATATAACCATGAAATACAGGTTAGTAGTTACTCATTTATAATAATGAAACTTGTAATCATTATTACGTATATTTTCAAAGTTAAACAGATAGACTTTAAATAGGTAGATGGTCTTCAAACACTTCAAAGATCTACAGAATGTGGCATTTAAGATGCTTTAATAACATAAGGCTCTTCATGACAGTGAGACACATCTGATCCTGGCATCACTAATTTACTTCAGAAAAAGATGATGAGCATTGAAGAAACTCCAATTGGAGTTTACTTTCTTTGTGGCAAGGATAGCCATGTGGGCAATAAACTGCCCTTGCCTTGACTGCTGACAGTACGCTGCCCAAACTGGACAAGCAGGACACACAAAAAAAGGTGACTGCCAAACTGCCAACTCAAAGTAAGTCAATCCTTCAAAGTCCTTGCTTTACAGAAAAGTCTGTCAGATATCCTAGGCTCATAGGCCGAAGATGGATGCCTCAGTGTCACAGAGGAACCCTGGGTGACCGTCCAGGCAGTCAGATATCTGTCTTTTTGTAAGTGGTTTGCACTGTACTTCCTACTTACTCAGATAATATCACATCCTTCTGGGGTCTTTGGTGGAATTGAGTACTAGATAGTTACAGTTACAGTTTTCTTTAGCTATGATAGGAGACAAATTAGGTACAAAACTTTGGACTCATCAAGAAAGGATAGATAATGAAGGATTTTCTCTAAATTTGCTAAATACAAATGGACTGGGCATTGTAAATGTAATTCTTACTTGATTAGTGTTCTTGTTGTATATAGTTTCATTTGTAAAGTTCATACCTTTCCTTCCCATTTAGACAATTGTTCTTATTGTATTTTGTTTTACTGTGTTATAGTTAAAACCTTTCTTTTTTCATTTAGACAAAAAGGGGGAAATGTTGTGGAATAGTCTTTTAATACACTGTGGAAAAAGTGTAACTCTTACTGGACTGATAAAAAACTGAGCACTCAGTAGGTCAGCAGGGTTCCCAGGCACAGTGGATGCTGAGCAGAAAGGCAGGGTTGCAAGGAGGCAGGGAGGAAGCATGGCATGTAGGAGATTTGGTGACAAGCCATGAGCCTCAGGGCAGCACACAGAGTAATAGAGGTGGGTTAATTTAAGTTATAAGAGCGATCTAAAAACAAGCCTAAGCTATTGGACATGATTTCATGATTAATAGTAAGTCTCCATCCATGTCATGATCTGGGAGCTGGCTGGTGGGACAGAGAAAGGCTTACTATAGCCCTGGAGATTGAACTCAGGTTGTCAAAATGAGCAAGCAGAGCCTGAGCACTGAGCCATCTCAGTGATGGTATTTTTGGTACATGGGCACAGGAAAGGAGACAATAGGGGCCGAATTACTAGTGTGGGGCTACAGAGAAACAGTAGCACTCAACTTAGAGGGTCAGGGCAGACGAAGAAGGCACAGAGGCCTTGGGTCATGGAGCCTCACATCTCCCCTCTGCTGTTTCCCCTAGGACTGGGAGTGACCATCTGACCCGCCTTCTGGTCTGGCTAGGCCCCTCCTAGCACCTTGGCTTCTGCCTACATGTCCTTTGAGGTGACCATCTGTCCCTCTGCAGCTCTCTCTGCTGTTTGAAGGCTCCTGGCTATTGGCATCCGATGCAGTCTAGCAGCTCCTCCCTTCTCCAATCCCTCTTACCCACCGTCAGCCAGACTGACTGTGTGCAGCTTTAGGGTTTCAATGCACTAGCTCCTGCAGACCTCTCAGGCAGACCCACAGAGGACAGCCAAGTGAGACCTGAGAGCTTTGTAAAATCACACCCCCATATCTGGACATGGCCTGCCCCCAGCCCACATGAAGTGTCCCTGACCACCTCTAGGCAGTCATTGCTCAGACCTGCACTACCCAAAAGAAACACACTGCAGATCCCATGTATTGAATTAATAAGAAATGGGGGGAGTTATTAAAAGTAATTTTCATATTTTATTTAACCAAATGTAAAAATACTGTCATGTAGCATGTGATTAATGTAGAAAATCAACAAGTTGTGTTAAATCCCTTTGCTTGTACTAAATCTTTGACACCCAGTGAGTGCTTCATGGACACAGTTGGCACATCTCAATCAGGACCAACCATATTCCCAGTGCTGAGTGCCCAGTGGTTGTGGGTGACCGGTGGCCACCAATAAAAGAGCACAGGTCTAGGAAGAAGACCACTGACCTGTCAATTATGATGCTGGGGTTCACTGTGACAACATCTGTCTTCTCCCCCACATCTGCGGCATACTCCCCTGAGATGGGGGGCAGGTTGCACCTGCAGGGAGACAGCCTCACATAGTTAGGTGGTCAGTCATCTTCAGGTGGCTGGGAGTGGTGAGGGGAAGGAAAGGCTGAGATTATAGGTCAGAGAGAAGCCAAGGCCCCCAGCTGGCCAGGACATCTATGACTGGCTAAAGCAAAGGTCCTTCTTCCCTGTATCAGAAACAGAACATCAAGAAGCTCCCATCTTGGCCTCATTGAAACTATTACCAAAAACATGTCCTTGAAAGCTGTGGCTGTCCCTGGGTCTCTGGGATGGTACAACATTAAGCAGAGAGGTACAGAGGAATTCCCTTGTCTGAGGACTCAAGGCTACTTTGAGGAAGCTTTAGCTAAGGGCAGGAATTAGCAAAAGTCAGCTGGAAGGACCAAATACCTGTGGGATACTCAAAGACACCCTTTGGAAGTGTGACACTGAGGTACAAAGTTGCAGAAGTGTGCAGTGTGGCTGCTGAAATCCCCCGAGGCAGGGATGTGGGGTCACCACGGCAACAAACCCCTAACCTCTAAAACTAGGTAGCATGTGCCTTAATTAGCAGAAGGGACACTGTCGCGGAGAATATGCTAAGGATCCTAAGATAGGAAGGCAACTCTGGATTATCCAGGTGGTCCAGGGAAATTACAAGAGCCTTTACAAAAAACACGTGATGACAAGGTAGTCAGGGTTCTCTAGAGGAACAGAACAGGTAGGTAGATAGACAGACAGACAGACAGATTTTATTAGAATGGCTTAGAGCTTGTGGTCCAGCTAGCCTTGATGAGTGGACAAGAGAGACCCCAAGAAACACTGTGGCAACTTCTTCATGTAACCATGTTTCTTGGGGTCTTCCAAAATTAGCATAAGTTCAGAACTAGTATCCCATAGACCTGGAAAATCTAATGTTTCCTTTCCCCTAGTGTACAGTTACCCTTGGGAGAGCCCATAGGTGCCTAACGAGGACAGCAAGGGTTCCCACAGGAAAAGAGGGGCCTGCCACATAAGAAAGGAGAAAGGCAAAGTCCCCTCCCCAGCTCAGTTAGAGCCTGGCTGAGGTGCACATGTCACCTCCTCCCACCAGGATTTGTGGTGGGAGGGGAATGGGGATTTAGGTTCACTGTCAGTTCTACGGGGATGTTAGTTTTAGGGTCTCTGGTCCAGAATACCATTAGCTCTTCACGTGCCCCACCTCCATTTTGAAAACTAGAAACAATGACCCCAGAGTCCAACAACCCGTTTAAAAGTACAGTGCTAGAGGGGTAAGAGGTCTCCAAATTATGAAGATGTGCTTAAGATGTCAGCAGAGGACAGGGACCAGGGTCAATGGGGTGGGGGGGAAGGACTCAGAGAGGAGGGCCATGGAGGCAGCGGAACATCTCCCTCACCGGAAGACAAAGTCGGCACTGTTGATCTCCTTCCCGCAGCCGCTATCCTTCAAGATGCCGCCGTTGCCCACCACAGCACACTTCTTAAACTGAGACCGGTAGTAGGGCATTTCCTGAAGAGAAACATGCACGGTGTCACAGCCGATGCCACCCACCTTCATCTTAGGCTCCCACCTCTGCTTTAAAAAAAAAATCCCCTCTATGAGCTCTACCCAACGAGGCAGCCTTGTCTGGAATGTGAGAGGAAACTTGAAGATGAGGAGGAGGCAGAAGAGACTTGCTACATTGGACGACTCCTGCCTTTTGTGTCTGTAGGCCTGCTTTACCCCCAGCACCCACCAGCAAACCAATCACTGAAGGTACCACACTGCATCAGGAATTAGGCCCTCTGTGGCACACTTGAGTCTGTGACCCACTTTCCCTGTGAGCACAGGTCCAGGGTACCAGGACAGGCAGGGCACTGGGGTCTCAAATTCAATAGGGGGAGAGACAGAAGGAGCTACAGCAGTCTTAGGAAAAGTCATTGAGGGGGTTCTAGTGTTTCCCTTGAATATGTCCTAAACGTGTGCAAAGAATTGTCTGGAAACAGCCATTTCTGGGCTCCTTCCAATAGCCACAGAATCAGAACCTCTGGGAAGGCAAGAGGCTGGAAAGCTAGCCCTTTAAGACCCCAGAGACACCACTATGTTATGGCAAGCTGCTGTGTACCATGACTTGGGATCTGGAAAATGATAGCCATGGGCCACATCTGGTCTGACTCCTGTTTTTGCATGGCCAGCAAGCTGAGAGTAACATTTATATTTTTAAATGGTCTGTAGCCACTCAAATAAGATGTGTGACATGTCTTCCTGATGTTTGTGCCACTGAGACAAAGGCTCCTCCTTCGGTTTCCCCATGATCATGACCACTTTCATGCTGGGACCATGGTGGCAAGTGGCGATGGTGATGATGTGCCCTACAAAGCTATTTACTGTCTGGCCCTCTACAGAGAAAGATGTGGAAACCCTGTGGTAGCTCCTGGCCTCAGCAACCCATGCCCTGGCTCTCCAAGGACCCGCAGGCCAGCCCAGGCTACGTCACATGCTGCTGTGACCTGCTTAGGGTGGAAGTTTATGTGATACCTGCTGTGAAAGGCTCGCCTAGTGAAGGCGGCTCAGCACCAGCACTGTGCTGTAGCTCAGTTCATTCCCTGAGTTCAAATCTTGCCGGATCACTCTGGTACCAGCAACAGGGTGTACAGAGAGACTCTGGTTTTACCTTTGAGCACCTACCCTGACCCACTAAAACATGCAGGGCATCCCAGAGCTCTGCTTCCAGACATAGCCATAAACACACCCTTGCCACCCACCTCTCAGCCGAAGCCACGCCACACCAACATCACAGAATCCCCCCGCCCTGCCCGAGCCAACCAAAAGTACAATTTCTGCATCCCTTCCCCCAAGAGTCAAGAACTTGGATCTGCACCAGCGATCAGCCTTAGAGATCTGAATGGGTCATGGGTGAGGACCCCTGACTATGTAGCCCATGGACAGGGAACCACTATGCTATCACTGACCAGCCCACCTTCATACAACATCTCTCACATCGTAGATGCATTATGAGCAGCCAGACCTATGACTTCTCTGAATCCTTGTGTCATAGATAGACACTGAGACTCTAAAGAGAGGAAAAAAATCACCCAAGTGCAACACCAACAACTGGCCAGTTGAGATGTGCCCACCGGAACAGTAATGGCAAGTCCGTTGTGGAGACAACTAACCATGTTCTAACTGGAACTGAGTCCCACTACACAGCAGAGAATTCACGTCTCATACTACAAACCTGCTCAAAAGGTCATGGCTGGGGAGGTCTGAAGGCCTATGAGGAATCCATCACTGTTGATGTGCCCATCAAATTGCCTTCTAATAATTATGTGTATCCCTAAGTGCCGAGGCCAGCTTTGCTCAGAGATGCTGCTTTTGCAGTGGGCAGGGTGTGTAGTTGCAGATATTAATAACTAGACAAAGTGCTGAGAATAAGTGACAATTTGTGGACAGACATAAACGGGATATTACACAGCACCTTCTCCAAGGCTCAGGGTGCATTGAGGGAAGGAGAGAGGGCTTGAAGGAAGGGCCATAGGACAGGGTGGAGTGTGGTGAGATGCTGTCTCCTAGGCATCTGGCAAGGCTTGCTGGTGGCACTCTTGAATTCACAGCAGCTATGATTACCACATGAGACTGGACCAATCAAACACTGTTATGGAATGGGGATGGACTTACGAACCCCAGCTCTCCCTGAGGATCTACATAGGGAAGGCATAATAAAATCAATCACTATATATAAGTAATACATGCTAAGAAAAAGCATTCTTACACAGTGACCCCAAGGTTATGTGATGTGGCTGAAATTCAGGCCTGACTCTGTCCTGGGCCTGCTTTCTGATGTTCATCTGCCTTGTGCCTGCCTCGGGTGAATGATCAAGCTCTCATTAATCCCTCTTCTAGATAGCTGTGGAACGCCCTCAGCACATAATGGCCGAAGCAGAATTGTAACGTGGTTTTTTTTTTTTTTTTTTTGGCCCAACTCATACAAACCACAGCTAGTTGGCATTGACCACCGTCTCCCTCCCAGACCACATGTCGGGGGCGCACCTTGGGAAACATTTGGAAGATCTCCTTATTGATGTGGTAGAAGCCACTGGAGTCCACCTCATACCTGAGATTCGTCTCTACCGGAGTGTTCTTCTGGGTAGTGAAGAGAAAGCCAGGGGCATTGCAGCACCTGGATAAGGTGGACCTGTGAGGCATGGACAAGGGGTGACCCTGGGCCCAGCACAGAGGGGACCCCTCCCTTTCCATCCCATTCCTCCCCACGCCCTCAGCGCCCTCCTGGCACCTGGGCCTTTCTCTCTCTAGGGTCCAGGCTAGCTAGCTGCCTACTGGAAAGCTCCAGCTTGGCCACAGCACAGAGTAAACACATGCGCATCACCTGCCGGTAGTTCTCGGTGCCTGGTTAACGCCCAGGCAGTTACATCAGCAACCCCTGCCTCCAGGTGGCTTTCTCTTGCCTCTCTTCTTCCTGTTGCCTCTTTCCTGCTCTTTCTCTGCGTGTCTGCCCCCTCCCCTTCCCCCAATAAACCTTTTGCACTAACTCGGTTGCGCATGCATGGCATGTCTACTTGGCACGTCTACCTTGTCAGGACCCACCAAAAGGTACCCACTTCACCTTTCTCTTGGTTTTTTGTTTGCTTGCTTGTTTTGTTTTGTTTTTTGAGATAGAGTTTCTCTGGGTAGCGCTGGCTACCCTGGAACTGGCTCTTGTAGACCAGGCTGGCCTTGAACTCACAGAGATCTACCTGCCTCTGCCTCCCAAGTGCTGAGGTTAAAGGTGTGTGCCACTACCGTTTGGTCTTTTATTATTATTATTATTATTATTGTTGTTGTTGTTGTTATTATTATTATTAATTACACCTGCCTTCTTAGGCTGGAAGCAAAGCCAGATACCAGGCCCTGAACCACTCTAACCCTCACATAGCACTCATCACGGGCTTGTTCAAACCACCCTGTGCCATGCCAGCCAGGCCTTGGCCCAGGCCCACTTGGCAACAGCAAGTCTCCCCCACAAGAGTTCACTGCTCCAGGACATGCTCCTCGTACCCCCGTCCAGAAACCTGAAGCCAGGGCTCTTTGGGAGGGTCTCGGCCCCCATGGCCAACACTCAACAAAAATCTCCCCTTATTACACAAAACCAAGGCCTGTGTGTTCACCAAAAGTGTCACACTGGTCATTCAGCTTAGGGAGAGGGCAGGGCCAGATTAGGGACGCTGGGTTGGTGCCAGATGCCTTCCTATAGGAAGTGGAACATGGTTTCTGAGATACTGTTCAGGAATTCAGTTTAGAAAGAAAAGGGGGGGGGAAGAGGGAGGAAGGAAGGAAAGTCCTGACATTTTTGTCTCAGAAACACTCAAAGCAGAGCTCCAGAGGGGTTACAGGTTACAGACTAAAAGGGGGAAGAAGGAGGAGGAGGAACCTTGAGAGAAACAGGACTATTGAAGAAAACCAACCTGCTTTTTTCTCTGCTCCAGGACTTTCCAAGGCTTTTGAAAGGATGAGATCCTGGGCAATCTTGCTCCCTGTTTGGAAACTTAATGGGCTCTGGTTGTGTCCCTGGGCACAGATCACTGCCTCCTTGGGTTGGACTAGGGTACACACAGCCCCAGGATCAATCAATCCCCTGCGGTGTCCAGGGAGCACTGGGGGATGGACCTCCATCTCTACAGAGCCCTGTGATGATCCAGACAAAACCCTATAATCACACACACACACACACACAGAGCAGGCCCAGAAGGCATCTGGAGTACACACAGCTCCAGGCAGCCTTGGGGGATGGACCACCTTCTCCATAGAGCTGAATGATGACCAGGACAGATCCAAGAGGAGGTCCAGAGTGTTCTCATGAGCTCCAGGGTGGAAAAATGAGTTGGCACTAAGCATCCAGAGGCCTGGACTCTGTTTTCTGCTCCGTGGCCAGCAGCTGTGGGCCCCAGGAGGGTGTCTTTCTGCTTTGGGGCTCCGTTTCTTCATGTGTAAAATGCAGAGGTGACTGTTTCTGACCCTTTGTAATTCTGGGGCTCCAGATTGTCCCAGCCAAAAGGTTAAATGTAAAGGTTAAATGACTTTTTATGATTTCACATCTTGCTGAGAAATCTTCACAGGCTGGCTGCTAGACTAGAGTAGTGGGGAGTTGGATTTTACAATGTGCCTAAGGCTTCCAAAGAAAGGCTGAAGCCTGGCAAGTGAGGAGCCTCGGGTCAGCATTAAAACCATCATCTGGTTTATAATTATAAACCAGACCTTTAAGTTCTGCAATGCAGAAACGCTCCTGGCTGCCAACTAGCGAACACCCCGTGTGAAACAAGCTGACACATGGTAAGTTTGCACACAGCAGGGTGGAGACAGCTGCTGTTTCGGGGTCCCCTCCCCACCCTCCATAGCTGAAATGCCAACATCTCACTCCTGTACTGTACAGGTTCCCACCCACCTGGATGGAGAAACTCTCCATTTTCCAGAAGTTTGAAGTGAGAGACAACTAATGGTCCCGAGGGCTTTCTGTTCAGAACACAGCAAGGTCCAACGTCACCTTCTTTCCCTACACCTAAACCCACTTCATAACCCTCAACCCAGGGGGTCTCTGTCCCTCAGCCTCACCTCAGAGAGCTGCCTCCAAAATGGAGCCCTGTGCTTCCCTTGAGAAATCATCTCCTATCAGGCCAGCATTGTTTTAAAAGGAAGTCTCCCCTATGACACCTCTGTTCCAACTCAGCCTGACCCACATCCTTGCACACCTCACTGGCTTATTCTACGAATCAGCTTCCATGTGTTCCAAGCCTCCCCTGCCCTGAGGCCATGCAGAAGGAAGAGCATGAAGTCGTACTTCGGTGGTGGGGGGAGGGGGCCAGATCCTGGGTGTTTTTCCCAGGCCCACTAGAACATTCAAGGCAGGCAGATCTCGTCCAACCAGGGCTAGGATTCTGAGGCTTCTCCTGCCTGCCCTGGGCTCATTATATCAAATAGTTACATTTCTAAACCCATGCTGCTTCAATGCTAACCCCACACACCTATTAACTCAGCACTTGGGAGTTAGAGGCAGGGGTAAGGGTTTGAAGCCAGCCTAGGCCACACAGGTAGACCCTGTCCAAAGAGAGAAAGAGAGAGGAAGGGGAGGGGAGGGGAGGGGAGGGGAAGGGAGGGGGAGGGGAGGGGAGAAGGGAGGGAAGGAGAGGGGAGGGGAGGGAGGGGAGGGGAGGGGAGGGAGGGGAGGGGAGGGGAGGGGAGAAGGGAGGGAAGGAGAGGGGAGGGGAGGGAGGGGAGGGGAGGGGAGGGGAGGGGAGGTGAGCGGAGGGGAGGGGAGGGGAGGGGAGGGGAGAAGGGAGGGAAGGAGAGGGGAGGGGAGGGAGGGGAGGGGAGGGGAGGGGAGGGGAGCGGAGGGGAGGGGAGGGGAGGGGAGAAGGGCACCGCAGAGCAAACTTCCTGGCCTGGAATCACCACAAACTGAAAGGAAGTGTCAATAAAGAAAATGCAAGCACTTGGTGACACCCACTCCCCACAGCCTCCTGTGTAGGATTCCCTCATGTCACTGGCTCCTTGACATTTAAACTTGAACCCGAGTTGACTGAAAGTCAGCTTGGACACCAGGGCCACATCAGTTTCCTAATGTAAGGTCTACCTGCCCTGGAATGATACTGCAAGCTGGCCGGAGGCTAGCCGTGGAGAAAACCCAAAAAGTTCATCATTAAAGGAAAAGCATTTGTGGATGCCTCGCATCTGTTTGGTTCCCCTGAGAGCCTGGAAATGTAGCTACCGCGTCTCCCAGAGCTTACTATCTGTTCATTGTGGCCAGAGAGCAATTCAAACACCCAACAGCCAGGCTAGGACATCAGACAGAGGCAAAATAAACACAGGGGCTCCGGGAGGGTGGGGAAAGCCACTGTCCCAGAGGGGACGTGAGGACAATGAGGACAGAGGGCTACGGAAGGACCTTAAGCAAAGACCTCACTCCTAGGAGACTTAGTGTACACCAGCCTGAGCTAGATGTAACAGCCCAACCGTGTAAAGCTATGGTAAAGACCACTGCAGAGCAGGGGAGGGCCACTGGCTGACCAGGTGCTGGCCTTGTTACTGCTCACATTCCTGAGACCCTGAGGGCCAGCTCCAGGCAGGCGCCCACTGAGAATCGGGTGTGGGTGTCACAGATGATGGCCATCTGAAGAGGTGGCCGTGGGAACCCATGCTGCGGGGGGGGGGGGGGGGGGCAGAGGACGGTGCATACTTGAACAGGCTGGCTTCAGAGCTATCCATTGCCCACTTGCAAATCTGGAGGCTCTTCCATCTGTCAAACAGGTCAGACTGCTTCACCCTGCGGGGGCAGTGGACAGAGGGCAGATGAGAAGGTCAGATGGCACCGTGTACGTGGCCCCTGCCTCCAAAGACCCTCTCCTCCCCGTCCCCAGACGCCATACCAGCAGCTGCTGTGGTACTTTCCTTATTCTTGATGTGAGGGTAATCCCTGGGGGAAGTACATGAGCCCAAGAGCTGCCCTTGGTGTACAAGCTGGACAGAGTCAGCCACCCCTCAGCCAGCCAGCCACTGTCCCCACCCTAATCGTGCCTGGACTAAGCATCAGACCCGAGTCTTAGAGCCAGCTCAAAGTATTCAAGCAAGCTGACCCTAAGCTAAGCGCCCAAAGATCTCACCCAGGCTTGCCCCTCACTCTCGCCTCTGGAACCCCACCCTACCCCTGCTGGTGTGGCCCTCAAAGTGTGGCATGTTTCCCGTTTCTGGGAATCTGCAGGTATACAGCCTCCCATGTCCAGTTGTGGCCGTGCATGCCCCTAATGCCAGCACTCAGGAGACTATGCATTCAAAGCTAGCCTGAACTACACGGTGAGTTCCAGGCTAGCCTGCACTAGAAAATGGGACCCTATAACAACAGCAACAAAACCCCCACACCCACACACAAACTCAGTAAAAACCCTTCTTAGTCACGTCATGTCTACAAGCCTCAACCGCTCTCACCTGGGACAAGCCCACCTTTCCCATGTGCTTTCCCTCAAAGGCCAGCGCCATCCCCTTAGAAACCACAGTCTACTAAGGAAACAAGACCCCTTCCAGATAGAGTGCCTGCCCACACCCTGCACTGCACACAGCACGGGGCTCCCAACCGTGGCTCCCCCTTTCCAAGGGTAGGTCCAGAGAAGACAGACTTGAACCTCTCTGAACAACTCCAGGCCTTCCGATGCGGGCTGTTCCCACGCTCACTCAGGAAAGGGTACAATGTCTACACAGAGGTGATTTTCCCCTCCCACTGAAACCCACAAAAGAATTAGTATATAAATTATAAATTCATCATTACATATTTATAAGAGTACATTCTGAAAAAAGTCTCAACACCGGCAAATGTAGACACTTGATAAATGTGATTGGTTTGTTGAATGAATGAATGAATGAATGAATGAATGAATGAAATGAATGAACTAAATCAAAACTGAAAATGAGGGAGCTGAGTGTTGTGATCACACACATACTTGTTACCCCAGCACTTGGAAATCTGACATAAGGGGATTTCAGGTTTGAAATCTCCCTGTGTGCACGGAGATCCCAGAACAACAACAAAGACATGTTGGAAACAGATGTAGGCTGCCTTGTCTGGGAGTGGTAAATGCTATGAAGGAAAGTTGAGCAAAGGGCTGGCACATGGTTACTCAGAAGGAGTTTCTCGAGGTGGGGAGCCTTGCACAGAATCTGGAAATGTAAATGTGAGTCACGTGCCTATCTGGGGACAGTGTAGCTCAGTCAGAGTGTCAAGGCAGAAGCATGCTTGGTAGCTAAAGAAAGGAGCCCTCTCCTCCTGCTGAAAGCAAGCCAGCCTTGCTTCTTTCCCAAACCTCCCAGGGGACATCCACACCCACACTCGGAGGGAGGGAGGGAGGGAGGGAGGGAGGGGAAGGAGGGAGGGAGGGAGGGGAGGGAGGGAGGGGAGGAAGGGACAGAGGGAGGGATCATTTAGACTAAAAGGACCAAAACCCCTCTCACTCAAAGTGTAAATCATTTCCAGGCTCTTAAAAGGCAGATGTAATTTTAACAGCCTTGTCTTTTGCAGTGCAGGGTCTAGAGACACCGACTGTAGTTGATAGGGAACCCATAAAGAGCTAGAGCTAAGCATGTAGTTGGATTAGTCTGTTTTCTGTTGTTAAAACAAAATACTTGAGGCTGGGTGCTTTCAAAGGAAAAAACTATTTTGTTCATAGTGTTAGCCTCTGGCAAGGGTATCTATCAAAAGCTATCAACACACAAGGCAGAAAGCTTAAGAGAGTTAGGAGTTAGATTTAACCTTTTATGGAAACGTTTTATTGTTGTTGTTTGGTGTGTGTGTGTGTGTGTGTGTGTGTGTGTGTGTGTGTGTGTGTTTTCTTGTCCAGAAGCCAACACCAGCTGTCTTCCTCAGTCACCACTTCATTTTGGGGGACAGGGCCCCTCACTGGATCTGGAGCTCATCAATTCAGCCAGAGTAGCCAGCCAGAGGAGATCCATGGGTCCTCATGTCCTGACCCTCCAGCACTGGAGTTTCAGGTACACATCAGCACACTTAGCTCTTGTGTGGGTCTGGGGCTCCTAACTAAACCTCATGCTTGTGTGGTTTTACCAATTGAGCCATCTCCTCAGCCTTGCAACCTAGTCTTGAGGGAAGTTGCTCATTCTGTGAGATCATCTTTAATCTAAGGGTGATGCCCACAGCGATCTTATTGCCTCCCTCTGGGCCTCACTTCTTAAAGGCCCCCCACCTCAAGCCTCTACCACACAACCCCTCGGGGTTAACCACACCCAAACCACAGCACCCTTAAGCAGGGAAGATGTGAGAGGGGGTGGGGTGGGCCTGAGGGAAGGAAATGGAGTCCTCGCCTACCAAAGTAGAAGATCTATGAGCGGGAATCCAAAGGATGGGATCCAGGACGAGCATGCTGGACCTGGACCTTTAGTGCTATAAGCTTTGGGGTCACCCTTATCCCGGTGATGACCTCACTGCCCTCCCTCGCTCTCCCAAGTCTCCCAGGGCCTACTGCGTTTGCCTACTGTCCACTCTCATGAACTTCCTCCGCAGCTTGTTCTTTGTACAAGTGCTGGCTCAGTCCCCTCCGTGTCTGCGGTCCCTGAGCTCAGGGCCTGACTTCACTGAGCCCCGACCTGGCAGAGCACACAGACTTTTGAAAGTCTCCTGCAGCTGAGCTTCGTGAGGCATGAAGGACCTCCCAGCCCAGAGAGGGGGGCTCTTTGCCTGTGGCCACGGCTCCAAGCTGTTCTGTTTGGTCTCTTTGCTGGACTCTGACCAAGTCCAGGCCAGAACGGGAGGGAAGGGACCCAGGGAAGCTGGCACGGGAGTTCTCAAGCAAAACCCCCAGGTAGGTGTGGACATGGGCAGCAACTGAAGGTTTGATTCAAAAGACAGAGACACTCACATGACTAGAATCAAACACAAATAATTTGAAGAAGAATCAGCCACTGTCATGGCAAATAATCACAGACTGATTCCTCGCATCTCAGACAGCGACAGAAAGCAGGTCACTTTCCCCGCGGGGGTTTTCCGGCTGACTGATTTCTTTACGATTGATTTGAGAAATTTTGGATCAAAATTACTCCTACGGGAATCACACATCTCCTCATGTCCTGACTCTCTGTGTGCCTGAAGGGATGTGTGTACATGCACCCAGCTGCCTCCATTCACAGATGGGATTTGATCTTTTTCCTATTATGTGGGTCAGTTCTGCTGTGATCCAGGTTGTGGGATGAGGCTGGAGCTCAGCAGAGTCCAAGAGAGCCCAGATAGCATCAGCACTACCTGGATAGAACCAGTCTCTGAGCTCTCTGGCATCTGCCATGGGAGACACACTAGCCCTCACTTTGGGAATTACTCAGGAAAGAGGGTTGGCACTGGGCTTACGTCCCTGTCACAGCTGATACCCCGTGAATGGCCCAGTCTTGCCTTTACCCCTTCCTATACTTCCACAACTCAAGTTCCCAGACAGGACAGTCGCCGTGGAAGAGAGCATCTAAGCAAGACTGACTACACCTGAGGCTGCCAGCTAGGATTGCTGTCCATCCCAGGGATCCATCCTGAGGGATGAGACAAGGTGTCCAAAGACAGATGAGAACTAATTCAACGGTGGAACGACCAAAACACCAGCAAAAAGGAGCCCATGACTATGGACAACGGTGGTCACAGGCACAGGGGAGTCTGAGATTTCTCTTTACATTCCCACCAGCATTTGTAGGTTCAAACCCAAGTACCCTGGTAATTTAGAGTCCTCATCTGGTCTCTAAACACCAGCTGTAATGGGAAACTCTTACTGGCTGAATTGTGCCTCCCCAAAATTCATTTGTGGAAGTCCTAACCTCAGGGTGACTGTATTTGCAGAAGGGAGTCTTCAGAGTCAAAACTATGGGGGCGGGGTGAAGTCACTGGGGTGTGCCCTGGTCCAGTAGGACTGGTGTTCTTGTAAGAAGAGAGTGAGCCACAAGAAAGCATGGCCTTGAGCAAGCCAGGAAGGGAGGCCCTATGGCCCCCACTCATCGTCCTCTGGAACAAGGTGGAAACGACGGTTCATCTGGGGTTGAAGAGACGGCAAACGTGAAGAGTGGAGTTCGGATCCCCAGAATTCACTTAAAATGCTGGGTAGGCATGGTGGCCTGCCTATAATTCCAGCTCAGCAGGCTAAGACGGGGGATTCCTGAAGCATGTGGGCTAGCAAGATTAGCCAATCATTGAGTGAGTTCTGGGGTTGACTGAGACCCTGCCTCGATGAAGCAGAAGGAAGGGCAATGGAGGGCGAATCTTGACATCAGCATCTGGCCCCCAGCGCATGTGCACACAAGTACAAAAATAAGTGGAAAAGAAAAGAAACTAACTGGCTTCATAGTGGAATCTGGTGGTGACGGGCTCACAGAACTGATGTAGGCATCAACGACATCACACAGAAAGCCTGTAGGAAGGCGGATGGGAAGCTATGAAGGCGGCCAGTTCATGCGCTTCCTTGGCACTTCCTGTCCAGACCTGGAAGCACCCATGAAGAAAATTTTGCTTTCTAATTTGAACATTAACTGTCTCCCCTTTGAAAACTCCGAAGAATGCTGCCAACAAAAGTTCTCTGGGAACCCAGGCAAGCATGAAAAGGTCTCAAATATTTTAAATCTGAGAGAAGATAGTTTAGCTCCTGGCTGAGGTCAGGCGTTGTCTTGAAACTCCTTAGAAGCATTCTAAAATGTCTATCAGACCACACCCTTATGTACTTCCTAAATGCTGCCCACAGGGTCCCTCTGTCCTCAGAAAAGTACCCAGGTGCACCATGAATCCTCTAGTGCCACAGTTCCCGTCTCCCACACACATGCTGACCCACAAGCTACTCTGGCCCTTCAGAGCTAGGACCCAGCAGGGCCCTCCCTGTCTCAAGGCTTCGTCCCTTGTGGAATCTTCTTGGCCTAGTTAACAACTATCACCCCACACTCCAGAAGTCTCTCCACCCATCCTCAGCAAACCCTTGCCTGGCATCACCTGCCCTAGATCAAGTTCCCCCATTACCTTAAGAGTTCGTCTCCTAAGAGTTACTCAGTCTGTTTCCCCGCTGGGCTATGGACTCCCCAAGAGCGTCGCCCACAGTGTTGTGTGCTCAGTGCGGTGCAAAGTAGACAAGGGAGGTAGGCTTCACTCTACTGAGTATGACTGGGCCATAACCAATACAGATAACCCAACTGGGCTATCTCAGTCCTGCATATGGAGCCCGCTAGTTTGGACCTTACATGTCTCCTAAAGGCCTATGCCTGTTTCTCGGGGTGATGCTATGGAAGTCCTCAGGGTCACTGGGACTTGTCCTTGAAGACACTGATGGGAACCGGGTCTCTTTCTCTTTCTCCTTGGTCATGAAGACAGCAGCTTTATTCTCCCTCCAGCTCCCTGTGATGGCGTGCTACCTCAACACAGCCACCAAGTTATTGCATTGTTATATATCCAGTACAGCGATGGGAAGTTCGCTGGCACAGGTTCTGTGATTAACTCAGAAAAACTCCCGTTGCCGTAGGAGAAAGAAATGGAAGGAAAGAGAATAGAATATCCACACCTACTGAGAGCCACTTTTCACCTGCTCTCTCTGTTACAAACTACTTCCGCTGGTCAGCAGCAATGCCGAAGGAGTAGGTAGCACAGCCTCTGTTTTATAAGTTAGGAAAGGCTCAGAAAAATTAAGTAATTTGCCTGATAATTAGAGCTGACAAGGCCCAGAATCAGCTTTCGGTCCCCGGTCTGCCTACACTTTTCTCCATGACTCACACTACCTGGCTTCTACCTGCCACAGACAGAGTCCTTGGGATAATGTCAGGGGCCACAGTCCATAGAAGCATCCAGCAATACCTCTGTATGAATCTGACTTTGTCCACATCCAGATGTAATGTTTTCAAATGAATTCTGATCCTGACGTAACTATAGTCCAGATTCCACTATGGAGGTCTCATGGATTCCTGGGAGTTGTAACAAGACTCAAGTGAATACCCAGCTATGAGGCTCAGGCCTTCCTTCCACAGACTGTGGGGGCGCTGTGGGTGGCGGACTGTGGGGGCGCTGTGGGTGACGGACTGTGGGGGCGCTGTGGGTGACGGACTGTGGGTGGCGGACTGTGGGTGATGGACTGTGGGTGATGGACTGTGGGGGCGCTGTGGGTGGCGGACTGTGGGGGCGCTGTGGGTGACGGACTGTGGGGGCGCTGTGGGTGATGGACTGTGGGGGCGCTGTGGGTGACGGACTGTGGGTGATGGACTGTGGGTGATGGACTGTGGGGGCGCTGTGGGTGATGGACTGTGGGTGGCGGACTGTGGGTGATGGACTGTGGGGGCGCTGTGGGTGACGGACTGTGGGTGATGGACTGTGGGTGATGGACTGTGGGGGCGCTGTGGGTGATGGACTGTGGGTGGCGGACTGTGGGTGATGGACTGTGGGGGCGCTGTGGGTGATGGACTGTGGGTGGCGGACTGTGGGTGATGGACTGTGGGGGCGCTGTGGGTGATGGACTGTGGGGGCGCTGTGGGTGATGGACTGTGGGTGGCGGACTGTGGGTGATGGACTGTGGGGGCGCTGTGGGTGGCGGACTGTGGGGGCGCTGTGGGTGATGGACTGTGGGGGCGCTGTGGGGGGGCGCTGTGGGTGATGGACTGTGGGGGCGCTGTGGGTGGCGGACTGTGGGTGGCGGACTGTGGGGGCGCTGTGGGTGATGGACTGTGGGTGATGGACTGTGGGTGATGGTCTGTGGGGGCGCTGTGGGTGGCGGACTGTGGGTGGCGGACTGTGGGTGGTGGACTGTGGGGGCGCTGTGGGTGGCGGACTGTGGGGGCGCTGTGGGTGGCGGACTGTGGGGGCGCTGTAGGTGACGGACTGTGGGGGCGCTGTGGGTGGCGGACTGTGGGTGACGGACTGTGGGTGATGGTCTGTGGGGGCGCTGTGGGTGATGGACTGTGGGGGCGCTGTGGGTGATGGACTGTGGGTGATGGACTGTGGGTGATGGACTGTGGGTGATGGACTGTGGGTGATGGACTGTGGGGGCGCTGTGGGTGATGGACTGTGGGTGATGGTCTGTGGGTGATGGACTGTGGGTGATGGACTGTGGGTGATGGACTGTGGGTGATGGACTGTGGGTGATGGTCTGTGGGGGCGCTGTGGGTGATGGACTGTGGGTGATGGACTGTGGGTGATGGACTGTGGGTGATGGTCTGTGGGGGCGCTGTGGGTGGCGGACTGTGGGTGATGGACTGTGGGTGATGGACTGTGGGGGCGCTGTGGGTGATGGACTGTGGGGGCGCTGTGGGTGGCGGACTGTAGGATAGGTTGAAATAGGGGGTGCTCCTTTGCCATCTCTGTAAAAGCGTGTCGAAGGAATCTCCACACAGAGATGTTGTTTGTGCACAGACACTCTGGAAGGATATACTGGGCCTCCAGGAGCTAGAACTTGGAGTCTGTGAGACAGAGATACTTCACCACATACTATTTTTCAACACTTGGATTCCCCATCACGTAAAGAATTAACAAATCAAAACTTCCAAAGAAATTAAAACAGTAAAAGACAACATCAAGTGGGCAAGGCTTGACCCAACAGTACAAAATACTGAATTCAGGTCAGGTACTCCCAGGCCTCTCGGATTTCCACTTAGCAGGAACCCTGCAAGGACAACCGAGGAGCCTGGTAACTGAGCTGGGGAAGTCCACACCCAGTCAGCAGAGGAGAGCTTGCAAGCCTGGCCTCTGTTATTAAACAGCTTCCAGGCCTTTCTAATGCCAGTGGAAGATGTAACTTTCAGGTTCTGACATCTACCCTGTGTGTCTCGTTTCCTTCAGATCTGAGGTCTACCCACCCACCTCCGCATGCAACCGTACCCACTCCCGGCCCAGGCACACTCACATGGACAGCACCTTCACGTCCAGGATCTCCTGTCTCAGCTCCAGGCATCTCGTGGAGTTAAATTCTAAAGGCCCCTTGTAAAATTCAAAGTACCTGAGAACCGACGGAGACAACAGTTACACAGAGAAGCATCCCAGGGTTTCTAGGACCTGTCAAGGGTCCTTCAGACAGAAGGAACTCATCCTAGTCCAACAAATAAAGCAAACCAACCCACCCCATCACAGGCCCCAGTAGGGGGCTGGCTCTAGTAGAAGCAACCACACTGCACTCACTGGAACAAAGCCTACTTTGGCCAACACGGAATGGCAGGCACGGTTTCATTGCAAGGCTGTGAGGGAGGAGACGGGGAGGGCTCTGTGCGCTCTGATCAGACACAGTAGGAGATTGGCAGCCCCCAGCAGCCAATCTGGGAGGCAGGCAGAGAGGTACCCCTCCCCTTTCCTGCCCTTTCGGCCTTTCTCTTACTCTTAGGACAATGTCCCATAGCACAGGCACAGGCAGAGTTGAGATGGCCACAGATTTTTCCATTGACAAAGCATTTCCATTCCCATCTGTTTCCTTGGCGCTCATGTCTTGTAGGGCTGTCTCTCAGACACGGCTGCTCTTGCCTCATCTGCTTACCACAGAGCTGGTATACCCACAGCACCGGAGCAAGGAGTCATCACCTTCCAGGGCAGAGCCAGGTGATCCTTTCTCCACGGGTCTCTCCCACGCCCAAGGTCTCAACACCTCCCAACCATGGCAACAGTCACCACGTGTGCATCCTGTTGCCAAGCCGATGCCACAGACATGAGTGTGCTGATTTAACAATCGTAAACATGGGCTGGAGAGTAGAGTGCTTGCCTAACATGCTCAAGGTCACTAAAGTACACACACACAAAATGTTCTGTACAATGAATTGTCTCCTATTCCTAAAATCAATTGCCTCTGTATCTTTACGTCATAAAAGAATGAGGCAGAGTTCATAAGAACTAGGAATTGAGGATCCTCATAACATCAGACTCACTCTCCTAGTTTCCCTCTTGTTTCTGAGCTCCTTTGGCTGTCTCTCACTCAGCAAAATCAGTGTCAGAACCTGGGTCAAGGGCCTATACCTTTGGAAGCTCTAATTGGTCCCTACTCCTGGGCTCTACACATTATCTCAATTAGAACAAATAACATCATGTTATCATAATCTGCCTCTGTGTCTATGGCCCTTCCAAATGGTGAGCATCTCAAATGTAGGGATTATGTCCTTGTTATTTCTCTCCCATCTGCACTACAGAAACAGGCATGCTAAAGACTACATTTCCCAGACTCCTTTGAGGCTAAGGCTCTGGAAACAATTTACGTCCAACCAATCAGAAACACACTCATGAGATTGATTCCAAGCTGTACCTTGAAAAGCATGGAAAGGAATGTGGAGCAGACAGAGATGGCATGGGTCTCAGAAACTACAGTCATAGCAGCAGCAGGCATGATGGTGGCATTTCACAATGCCAATCCTCAGTGTGATGTGATAGCTACTCTTGGTTGTTAACCTAACTATATCTGGAATTAACTAAACAAGTGGCTGGGTGTACCCGAGAGAGATCTTAATTAAATCTTCTGAGGTGGGAAGACCCATCTTAAATCTGGACCATACCTTCAGAATGTCTTAGTTCTATTGTTCTGGAATGCCATTGTCCTATTGCTATAAAGAAACCAGCATGACCAAGGCAACTCTTATAAAGAAAGTATTTAACAGGGAGCCTGCTTACAGTTTAAGAGGGTTAGTCCATTCTCACCATGGTGGGGACCATGGGGACACACAGATGGTTGCTGGAGCAGTAGCTGAGAGCTACATCCTGATCCATAGGTAGAGAGGGGGAGGGAGGCAGGGAGGGAAGGCGGGAGAGGGAGAGAGAGAGAGAGAGAAAGAGAGAGGACTCTGAGCCTGGCATGGGCTTTTGAAACCTCAAACCCTATCTCCAATGACACACTTCCTCCAAGGCCACACCTCCTAATCCTGCTAATCCTTTCAAATAATGCCACTCCCTGATGACTAAGCATTCAAATATGTGAGCCTAGGAGGCCATTCTTATTCAGACCATCACATTCTGCTCTCTGTACCTCATAATGCCAAGCCCAGAGTCTATTTCTGCCTTTCTCTCTCTCCTCTCTCCCCTCTCCCCCTCTCTCATTTTGGATTTGTTTGTTTTATTTCTTTGAGACAGGGTTTTGTTGTGTCCTGGAACTCACTCTGTAGACCAGGCTGGCCTCAAACTCACAGATCTGCCTGCCTCTGCCTCTTGAGAGCTGGGATGAAAGGTGTGCTCCACCAGCAGCAGCACATGGTACTTTGTCGTAACAATAGTAACCCTAACTAGGACATGGTATATAAAAAGGATGTGGGAAAAGGAAACTTTTGATCTTTGCCTGCTTGCCCTCTATCTCAAAGACAGTCCAGACATTCACTAGCCTTAGAGCCTACTACTTTGTGCTCCCAGTGTATACTGAAGAGTGGCTAAGACTTCCAGTCTCATGGATTGAACAACTACTGGATTCTTGGACTGTCCAATGGTAGAAACCCTTGTTGGACTAGCCGGATCACAGCTTGTAAGCCATTCTAATAAATCCATTATTGTCTATGCATTCATTCTTTCGCTATACTCATTCTGTATTTCATTGTTCCACTAGATAGTCCTGACCAATACACTCAGTAACTTACTTACTTTTCTCAAAGATTCTGAGCTAGGAGCCCTTAATAAATCCCTTTCTCCTTTAAGTAGCTGACAAGCATTCTGTTATCAGCGTGGGGCCACCACACATGCCCATGACCTCGGCTCTAATTTGCGCAGTTTTCCAGTCACACAGTGGAAAGTAAGGTCTGATGTCTTGCAACAAACAATCTCATTTGCAACCAGACCCTGCGGGTGTCACTAAGCCTTTGGAACCGTAGGTTGAGTGAAATCATGATCCTAGACTGCTGCTAAGAAAAAACTCCAGACAAAATGTTGTCAAGATAATTAATTAAAAGTCTAGAGCAGCAATTCTCCACCTGTGGGTGGAGACCCATTTGGGGGTCGAATATCAGATTATCAGATATCCTGCATAGCAGCTATCTACATTACGATTCTTAACAGTAGCACAATTACAGTTGTAAAGTAACAACAAAAATAATTTCATGGTTGTAGGCCACCACAACATGAAGAATGTATTAAGTGTTGCAGCATTAGAAAGGTTGAGAATCACTAGTGTAGAGTCTGCAGGAGCTGGAGACTTGTAGACATGACTCCTGTGCTTACAAATCGTCTGAGTCACTTCCTTCCCCAACTGTCTCTTTTTCTCTCCTAGTTTGAACAAAGGTGGTGTCTTCCATTTGACCAGCCAGCCTCCCCTCTCCTCCACCCAACCATCCTTCCTTTATCTGATCCTCCTTCTCCCGAATCCCCAACATCACTCATACAGGCAACTGAGCAGTTCTCAACAGTCTTATGTCTAGGGGGTCTTAGGCTGAGAGGTTTTCTGAGCTGGGCTTACATCCCTTACAAGCCACTGCTATAATCTGAATGCTGTGGCTCTCCAGAATCCACAAATTGAAATCCCAAACACTGAGATGACGGGGTTAGGATGTGATGGGATTAGATGAGCCCTTTGGTTTTTTTCCACCCTATCTTTATAAGATAGAGCCCTGTAAAATTCCTTATAAAACAGAACTGAGAGAGACATTTTGCCCCCTCTACCACACGAGGGTATGGGGAAAAGACAAGCCTACGATCCAGGAAGCAGACCTTGCTGTGAAATTTGGACTCTCAGTCAAATCTCTAGAAACACATTTCCATTGTTTAGAAACACCCCAGTCTATGTATTGTTTCAGTAGCGTGAATGTACCAAGATAGCCATTTTAGCCATGCCACTTCTAGCCTTAGCCTCCAGTCTACAAAGACTCAGTGCTACCTGAGCAGCCACCACGACAGTGTTGACATTTCCAGCAAGTGTAAGAAGTGCTCACCCCCACTGCCCCAACACTGAAGGGCAAGCAGACACCACAGGGAGACCCAGAGAGTGTGACACTGCCTCCCCTCCCATACACTCAGCTGGTTGATAGCTGAGTCACGGATAAACAGCGCTGACGTTTTGCTACCATCTGCTCTGGTGACGCTGCCTTCTGCTGAGCTTATTAAAACCTCCGTCCTTCCGCCTCCCCAAGGCTACACAGCCCATGCCAAGTCCTGCCTGGGTGTTAGATGCCCTTGATCAACCTGCCTCTGCTAAGCATTACAGATATGAAGCGGAGGGAGGCTGGTCTCTGTGAGTTCCAGGCCAGCCAGGGCTACATGTGAGACCCTATCTCAAAAAAACAAAAAGGAGTGTTTGAGGGAGGCCTTGAACCTGGAACCTGTCCACCCCTACAGGGACTGTCCCTCTCAGGGTTCTTAGAGACTGACAGACTGACCTAAGAGTGCCATGCCACTCAACCAAAACAGCCATTCTCAGATCCTTCTTTCTCTGGCTTCCATACCCTGCGTCCATCATTCCCCGCCCTAACCATCCTAGCCGGGTATAGGCAACCTTGGGCAGCCCCCACAGCATGGAGCCTGAAGAAATATTCAAGCAGGCTAATTCTAAGACTGGAAACCCTGCTTTGCCGGTTCCTGCCCTCCGCCACTTGTCCACACTGCCACCATACTTCTGCGGCCTCCTAACTGGCCTTTCATCGGCCCAGGGTGGTGGGCTGTGCCCTTGTTCCCAGGAACTAGTGAGTGTAAAACCCCTTCCCTCATGACAGGCGTTTGCATCTTTATATCTTACCATTTCTGATTAACACAAGTCCTAGGCCCCTGAAACACCCTCGGCCAAGTCATCCAAACTGCTCCATGGCTGTGTCTAAAGCCTCAGCTCTGCAGTCAGGAAAAGGAGACAAACAATTCTGGCTTCTTTCTCCCACGCTTGCTGGGCTCTGCTCTTGGGGGTGTTCCAGCCTGACCTCTGCCGATGACACATTTGACAGCACAGCATTTCAAGGAGCACAGCCACACTGGGACCCCCAGGGTTCTGCCTGTGACCGGAAGCTGGGGGGGGTCGCATCTGGAGGGAGCTGTGTGAGCAGAGAGTGATTTCAGTCCACGAAA